AGGTTTTGATGACGCCATGACACGTAAGCTAAATGGGAACTCCTTACCTTACAATAGAAACACCACACGTTATAAATAACATGCTACACGTCCACCAATATTTAAAATTCAAAATAAAATTAATCCCCCACCCCACCCAGTAACTAAGTTTCATGACCGTTATTACGAGAATTCTTGTGAAACCCTAAAGACTAATTTTTTGCACCCAAAAAGGAAAACGTTAAAGATGCATTATGTAAGATTTAGATAAAGAGCTGATTGTTCTTGTTATTTAGTTCCATAAAATAGGTAATGAAAAATGACTACATGTATATTTAAAATTTCAGTCAAATTACTTTATTCTGAGCAAAGTTATGAATAATTTAAATTTTGACAAGATATAGCGTAAACAGTCTCGACTGTCATGTACCATTGCAACGATAATTAATCACGATTTTCTATTTAAACGTTTAACGAAGATATGACAGACGTCTTATATCTCAGCCATCCAATAGAGAGTTGATTATGGGCTTTGAATAACATTTAAAGCCAGAAAAAGTGCCTACAATAGGCAAATTTCGCATGTAACATAATGCATCTTTAAGCAAACTTGAAAAGAATAGCGAAGGATTCCATAATTATATGGTCTTTAGTGATAAGGAGTATTGATTTTAAAATCATTTAATGATAATGATTAGTGTGATAATGATGGTGATTAGGATATATATGGGTATATATATAGAACAACATACCGAGTAAATTCAAATAACAAACAATACCCTACCTTAAATTCTATATGATGTAGTTTTAATAAATCTTTATGTAATTTTACCGCTGTCGGCCATTCTTGGTTCGGACCAAAAGACACTAGCTTTCCTCCTGATATGGATGACAATTGTCTAGAATTATCCTGAAAATAAAAAAAAATTGAAAGATCAATTCAAAGTTACTAAATAAATTGTTGACTATACAAACTTTCAAAATAAAGAAGATATGTTATCGGGTGTTCTAGAAAGAGAGGCCATCTTCAACCTCGTGTAATCCACAGTATAAATTGTTTAAGTGGCATTTAGTAACTGGATGAGAATAACACATGACACAATTATATGGAATACAAGTTACTTAAAGAGTTTATTACAGCGACGTTTCGACGAGGGTTTCCCGTCTTTGTCAAGCAAAGGATTAAGATTTAGGAAACCTAACCTTATTGGTAACAGGTAACCTCGGGACATTGGCCACTAGCAGAGTCACCAGCAGTATTTAATATTGAAGGAACCTTGGTAGTCGTCTAGTAATGTGACATTATGTGTTGATTACCATGGGGTTTCGACGAGGGTTTCCCGTCTTTGTCAAGCAAAGGATTAAGATTTAGGAAACCTAACCTTATTGGTAACAGGTAACCTCGGGACATTGGCCACTAGCAGAGTCACCAGCAGTATTTAAAATTGAAGGAACCTTGGTAGTCGTCTAGTAATGTGATATTATGTGTTGATTACCATGGGGTTGTTGAATAGCAAAAAGTATTAAGGATTATTTTGGCGGAATCATTTTTTAAGTTACTTTACCACTCACACGTGTTGCTCAACATATATAATGCTGTTAACAATTTTAACAGCTAAACAAATGCCACTTAACACTCCGTTTAGATATGAAATATTTTAGCAAATTTAGAAGTGATGAATTTCGAACTTCAAGATTTGTAAAAAAAAAAGGCTTACTTTCAGTTAACACCATATTGTGTTCTATTTCTATGCGTTATGCGTCACATGATTTATTTGAACAGCTACAAAAATTTCAGTAATGTAAATTAACATTTTTAACAACTATTTATAACATCCACAAAAATCATGAATCACGTGATTGCAGAATTGATTTGGCGACACAGAAATCCAATATTATCGTAACACGTCATCAAATCTATTAGTCATTTCGCGATTCATGAAAGTTTGTGATTGTTTTTGTTTTGTGTGTTTTTTTTTTTTGTTTTTTTTTTAATTTTAATGTGCATTTCAGATTCATAAAAATACATCCGCAGCCATATTCTTTATTTTAACATGATCAAAAACTAGTAATCGTTTAACGCTTCATCAAAGGAATGTTTTAAAAAATAAATATTGCCTTTTAGATACGGATCGTGCTTTTAAAAATATATTTACGCTTGTGCACTTAGATGGCTGATTGCGATAACATTCTTTATTTAATAACTACATATATTTTATGTAATATTATTTTATCGATGATTTCGCTTATATTACTTAATGGCCAACGGCTAGATAGAAGTACAGCTAAAAATAGACGAATTTTCGTGTTTTTACAAAAGCATTTTCTAATTGCTCATACTTTCCTGGGTCTTTTTAAAACGTATTTTGAAGTTCAAAGTGTTTCATTGTCTGGACTAGTTCTAAATTTGAATCGACGTTAAAAATTAATATTATCAGTTTTATTTGTACAATGAAAAGAATAAAATCATAGCTTTTGTTACATTTTCTTTTTTAAATGGATTAAACTTTAGTACTGTTATTAAAGACCGTTTATCCACCGTAAAACTATCATTGATATTGACACAGGGTATATCTACTGAAATATTTAAATTTTTCTTTTTGAGATTAAATCTAAGGGATCATGTTTCGGTACCAGATTTCAGATATAATGTATTTTATGTTTTATTATAAAGTTTAGAGGTTGACCAACGACTGAACAGGTGAAAGTTCAGATATTTTATCATCTGATTAAAGTGACGTCTTCGATCATCCTCGCAAGGCGGATACTCAAGGTGTTGATATCATGTTACTGTTTTGGTTGGTAAGACGGTTTCTATTTAAATTCAGCTGCTTTCTTTTCCCATGGACAACAGATTCCACTTGACTTGGAATTATTTTGATAATTTCCTATTTAGAAAGTTCACTTACAAGGCCGAGTTTGTCTTCAAGTTTTATGCACCCCTTGTCTTTGATTGTCGCTTAGGATGTGTTATGTACTGTATTTATATTGCTATAAGATATTTAATAAGAAACGATTTCTTAACTAAATTTCCCTACCATTCGACCAAGTACTTATTTGCTAATAAATATATTTTGTGGTTTCTCTTGTCGGTTAAACAGTTCTAACAAGTAGGAATCTGATTTGTTACCTGAGAAGATTCAATTTTAACCTAACTCTTAACTCGGTGATTTTATCCGGAAACTGTAAACTCACAGCCTTATATCAAAATCTCTCTACATAATCTATCTATTGTTCATCTTAAGAAACTTATCTGGTGGAAACAGCAACTTATCAAGATGGAGATTTAAATATAAAGTCGGTGGATATCAAGTATAAACATGTAGATGGTATCATTTTACCAAGATCGAGACTGTTTATGATGAAAGAAGTGGCTGGCATGTGTTACAGAATCACTCATATTTAATGACTCTTGCGAAGTCACCGGCTATTATTCGGTGGTAATAAAAGACACACGAAGATACATCAATTTAAACAAGAAACAAAACGCAGTCCCGCCCCCTTATCAATCCCCCTGTGTTAATAACGAGGGTATAATGACCGTTTACGGCGCCGGTTTATGGTGGTCCTACTGTGTTCGTAACAATCGGATGATCAAGCCGATACAGTCGTCCAAATAACCGCGATAACCGTATTTTCTAGTTACCATCCGCCTCATCAACCGCGAATAACAATCCCATTCATAAAGGCTCAAACACTGGGCGGCCACGTGGTTGCGTAACGCCCTAAATTCGAAGCTAGGCGCGCGGAGGGACGAAAATGATCGTTTGTCACATGAAGGGGTCATTTTACATAATTTTGGCTCATGGTGATTTCCTTAATGAATTGTTGAGTACCTACAGAGTAATGATATACAGGATTAATTGTTTGATGAGAGGTCTCGAGTGGTGGAGCCTGCTTTGATCTTTCCTATATACGATTCGAACAATGCTAATGATACGCGATCAGTTATAAAAATGTACAAGCAATGTCTGACAGTGCATGTGAACATTGAGAATAACTTGTAACATACAGCCCCGATCTATCTTAATCAATAATATATCGTGATGTGTGTTATAGTTTGTGATTTATGACAACAATATACATCTGGGCCAAAATAGCTTTTATTTTTGGTCAACCAGACATTCTGTAAGAATACTTGAAATAGTCTGTATTTACAAAGTATTCTTTGGGGCTTAACGTCCGCTTCCACCTAGGGTGATATCGCAGACATGAGTTTCTATGAAAAATTGCAAGAGGAACTAAATGATAGACTTGCCTCGCATAGAAAAATCGTACTTCATAACGAATTTATATCATAACTGAAGTGTGGCAAACCATGCAAAGGTCACCGGAGAAGGTCAATGTTATTATCCTATAATGAAGATGTTGTGCGGTCATAAAGTTAACATGGATCCCACAAAGATCACATACAGTAAGGTTCTGGAACCAGTACGTCAATATTAACAATATAAGAAACCTGCGCAGACTTATATAGATAAATTAATCAGATTATTCACTTTTCTGTGTGCAAAAAATGATTAAAGCTTTCCCCGGACACTTTTGTAAGATTGGATTTGTGACCTCCTTAAAAAACAAATTTTATTATTTTTCTGCGGGACTTACATCTGCGAGATATGCATTTGTAACATTGTTGTATCAGCTATAGAATCATTTCATTACATTTCTCGAGGACCTATTTTTTTTCTTTGCTGCCGATCAATAAAATGGAGATGGGGTTAAGATTATAAGATAGAATAATTCACAAAATAACAAATACACAGTGTATGTTAGTTCAAATTTTATTGTCGTTAAATACATTATCATAACAAAACAAATTCTCGAGAGATAAGCCTATTCTAATATTGAATTGTATATCACGTTTGATCCTCTTATTATTCATTACGTTCATCAACAGACTTAATACACCAAGTAGCCATTGTATAAGGACAACACTACTTCATTTAATCTTAATAACTTTATATGCAAATGAGATTAAATCACGGGAGTTGATCCAAATTTTGGAATGTAAAGATAGATTTTCATAAAACGAAACAACTTTACAAACGCAATACGCAATCTTAAAATTACACAACAATTCACCTGTGTAATAAGAATGTACATAATATATTCAGTATGTTATACATTATGTTCCAATAAAAATCTGTCTTATTAACAAATTTATTAGTTTTGTAAATACATGTATATTAAATTCTATTAATTATACACCTGAATCAACCACAAGTTTGTTAATTTATTATGAAAGTTGTGTTATGAGTTTTTTGTAAACCCAGCGAATTTGCATAATTGCACAACCTCCATTATTCCAAGACAGCTTGCAGACGAGGTGACGAAGTCTAATTTACTATGAACCGGAATAAGACTTATTATTATGTTTGTTACAATATGGTAATATTTATATGTAAATATTTTGTAATACCAACATTGGCTTATGTGACAAATACAATATGGTCGAGCGAGTCAGTTGATTATAAAGTGGAACAACTGAGATGTCATTAAGTCGTTGACAGGTGAGTATAAGACAATAAAGATAAGAGCCTGGAACCAGAAGAGAATAATGTAAACTTTAGATGGTTATAAGCGACATTGGTATTTATCGATATGAATAGTACGGTCAATCTTCATTTCGGCCAGTTAATTTTTTATTATTTTTGACCTGGAAGTCTATATTTAGTCGGAGATATAGTGCATTTAAAAGTTGGCTGTTTGAACACTTTCAGGATCTGTATTCTGATTACATATACAGGCTTTTCTGACTGAACGTCATTGATTGTTCAAATAGTGTCATGTGTATTTAGAAAACGAAATAAAACCATCAATATGAAAAATAAACTCAGTTAATCTTATCAAGAGTGTCAAAAATGGATCAAAATAAATAAAACCAATCTCCTAATCTTTTAAAACATATTGATCCAAATATGTAATCCGGGTTAATCCTCTGACCCTGAGATTAAGCTGACAAGATAAGGTTCAGGTGTAGTAATGTAATTTAACATTACGCGAGACAGGGTAGTAATTCTAGTTTTTCGACAAATATTTACTTTAAACATTACCAATGAAATTACACGGAGACTTCTCACTTCTTGTTTACGTTTGGGTGTATGTATTGAATACGTGTCTTTGATAGCGAATAAATAAATAATATTATGTTTGATTATGGGGTTTTAGTTTTCGACCCTATACTGATAGATGAAGGAAGGGGCTTTAATACAGCTGGATTTGACTTCATCCAAAATTCATCTTATAAAATGTATTAAATTATGACCAACCCGTGAGATTTTTCGTCAAGTTTATAACGTATTTAAAGATTTGATAAAGCCCGGAGCTAAAATTACTTCAAGTTCTATCTAGTAAAAAAATATAAAAAATTTCAACAAAACATTTAGCCCCCTTATACACCAAAGGCGTCAAATTGAATTCGTATCAAACAATTGAAAATTTCAAGAATGCTTATACTTTGGTTTCTTCCACCCTCTTAAAATGATATTTGATAAAAATAATCAAGATACACCCTATATAAGTTATAGGACCACATTAGATTCAACAGTCCATAAATTAGTAACATATTTCTTGTTTTTTTTAAAAATGACTAGCATTAGTATATAACGTGGGGCTTTTTTCAATACTCGTAATCAATTTATTGAACTCGATCTGTTTATTTATTTCGTGTTTTATTAGCGTGGGCGGTGTACAGTAAACCTTTACGAGGAGCCATTGATCTCAAGCATAAACAGTTTATAACAAACAAGGAATTGGTGGAGTTAAATAAATACAAAAGAAAACAAATAAACAATCAAAATGAACGTCATCACAGGTGAAGAAATAAAAAAGGATATTTAAAAAAAGTGCGATTCGTACTTCAAAATCAAAACAAAAACACAACAAATTAGCTATATAAAAACTCTATACAAATACAGGAAATTAAATAAAAACAAAATTTGGGCTTAATTACAATAGCGAGGTGCTAGACGCGTTAATTTTATGTATTTCAAAGACGTCGTAAAAACACTCCAAGATCAACATCAGCACGAGATCGAGATTCCATCAAAGATGCCCAGGAGGGATGCTCAACGGGAGATATAAACCCTACTTTCAAGGTGTTGATTACAAGCGGCGAAGATCAGAGGGTTTTGTTTACCCCCTCGTCAACGTTTTGCGCGAAGATTAAAGATCGTGCGCGAAAGTGATATCGATCGTTGTTGTTTTAATCCGTACTGATGAGATAGATTATGTTAATCCAGTAGATATGTACAGATGTTAATCTAGTCAGGTGTGTAACGTGACTACAGGAGATAATCTTCTGATCTATTATTTACCTTGTTATTACCTAGACCGTCTACCTATCTCTAGTTTGACACATGTTCATATTGGCTTCGTATTCAACTTAGGAATGTCGGTCGTGTAGTAAATTATTTTTTTTTGTCTACAAGATACGAGGAATAAATTTCGATATTAATAAAGCTCAACTGAAATACACATTTCAAATTGAAAACTCAAGTTTTGGTAAAAATCGCGGACTTTATTATGACATTTTTCAAAGTGCGTTATTCATTATAAGATAGATCAAATCGTGATAGACTCGAAGTCAGAATATTGATAAATCTTCTTGTTTTTCAACATGACAAAAGAGAAGGCCTGTAATGAACGTACCTGTAAATCTGTTTCTCTTTCTCTGAGTAATTTATCAGCACTGTCATTGGAACCATTTATACTGGAACTATGTGTTGAGTCAAACGACACATCCCCACTTTTGATGACGTAATGCGGTCCACTGAGTTTCATTACATCATCGGGATTAATGGTCGTCTGATTGGCCGTCAGCATATCCTGCTCGTGCTTCTTTCTATTGTCAATTTTTCTAATGATAACGATGGTGATAATGACAGCCACCGCAATGACCCCTGTTAATGTTCCCAAAATAATGACAACCAGTGTGTTTTCTTCGTTGTCTTTAGATGAAAGCATAGTTTCATTGGAAACGACGATGTCGATTTTGATTGTGACGTTAGTTATCCGCGAAGGTTGTCCGCCATCTTTGACTTGAATGAATAAGTTGTGTGGTCCTATATCTGCAGTTGTTAGAGCCCGTCGTGTTTTAACGAGACCTATTTCGCTATCCACCAGGAATAATTTCTGGTCGGTGCCAAGTGCGATATGATAAGACACTCGGCTGTTATCTCCCCAATCATCGTCGGTAGCAGTAACGGCAAGGATAAGAGCATTAGGAGGGGTCAGATATGAAAGTGCCACTGAATGGTTAGACTTTGTTGGAAACGTAATAACAGGTTTATTGTCATTTTCATCTTCGATATCAACGATAACAGTAGCTGAACCATGCAGTGCCGATTCACCTCCATCCGTAGCTACGACAACAAACTCATATCTGCGTTTCTTTTCGCGATCTAGGGGTCGCGTAGTTAAAATTTCGCCACTGGGTGTAATAATGAAAGGGATGTCCTTATCATCACTCTTTTCTCGAAATATTGAATACTGGACTTCTTTATTGACACCTTCGTCGCCATCGTGGGCTGTGACAGTTCCAATTGCTGTGTTGGACTTTTGATTTTCAAAAACGCTGAAAACGTAAGTAGAAGTTGAAAACGTTGGAGTAGCATCATTAACATCCAGGATCGTGATTTCCACCAAGGTATTGGATGTCCTGGAAAGTAGCCCCATATCAGCAGCAAAAACTTTAAACCTAAGGTTTGGCTCCACTTCACGATCGAATTTCCTCTCAGCGATTATTTGCCCATTAGCGTTGACAGAGACGCCTAATTTATCACCCTCCGGTGAGAAGAATCTAAGCTTGCTATTCAAGCCTGTATCCCAGTCACTGGCCGAGACTTGTAAAATTACCTCACCAATCTCATTATTTTCTGTAATATTAGCTAGGTATTCACCTCGAGAAAATATGGGACTGTTATCATTTTCGTCTTTGACATGGACAGGGAAGACTATACTTCTATTCATTGGAGGATCACCAGCATCAAAACAAGTTAATGTTACATTGAATGAACTTTCTCGCTCCCTATCAATGGTCCTAGCTACGATTATTTTATACTCATCTACGTCCAACCCTTGTAACTCAAACGCACTACTTATTAATGAACATCTCACAATTCCGTTTCTCCCAGTGTCCGGGTCCAGTACCGCGATGTGAGCTACTGGGGTTCCTGGTTGTGCATATTCGGAGACTTCGCCATCTGCGAGTAAATTTAGATTGATACTCGGACGGTTATTAGTTGTGTCTTCTATGTTTATTATCACTAATGCTTGAGCTATGAGAGGTGGAGAACCATGGTCCAAACACTCAACAACGCCTTTCATGGTCTTTCCTTGAATGTCATTTAGGGAGGAACGGACGGAGAGGACTCCCGTCGTTTCGTTAATACGGAAATAATCCGTTACACCACCTCTCAGCAGTGGACTGAAGCGATAGAAAGCTACACCGTTTGGTGGAGTATCTGCATCAGTTGCGGTTAAAGTAACGACTACAGTGTTGACAGTGCTAGTTTCGGTGACGGTGACATTGAACGTTGGTGACGAGAAGACAGGCGGGTTATCATTGACGTCTTTGATTTTAATAATCACTGACAGAGAACTACTCAAGGACGGCGACCCTCCGTCATGGGCCACAACTGTAACATTATACCTGTCTCTTTTTTCACGGTCAAGTGATTTAGTGACCACTAAGCTGACAACCGACCCTCCATCTAGAGTCTGAACTGCTCTGAGGTCGAAAATGTCAGAATTTGAAACTAGTTCGTAACCTTTTAAAGAATTATTACCGATGTCTCTATCCACTGCAGCTTCAAGTTGATACGAAGAATTCACAGAAACGGATTCGGATATCTCCACGTTTATAGACGAACTAGTAAACTCGGGTCGGTTGTCGTTGATGTCGTTAAGGACAACTTTTACTCGCTCCTTCCGGAAAAACTGACTGATCGTAGACTGTACGGCAACTTCCAAATCCAAAATACACGTGTCCGAAAATCCGCACAGTAATTCCCGATCAAGTTTTTGAGCCGTGTAAACAAGACCAGTGTTGTTGACAATTGTAAATAAAACACTATGAGGATAACCCTGCACTAAAAAGCTGTACTTCAGAGATCCCAAAACCTCAACCGATAGCAGCTTTTGTAGGTCCGAGGAATCGGAAATCCTTCCGACGAGTGTTCCTCTATCTTGTTCTTCATCCACGTGAAAAGTTAACTCCACGGCTGAACACACTATAAAACACAGCAATAACACACAGAACACAACACACTTTTCCATTATGTTATAAAAATTCAGAACACCTTCTTCCTAATTGAATTAGTTAAGAGTTCACAACTTTTCTTATAGCTTCATAACTTATGGTTAGCTGGTTTCTGCTATCTTGTTAAACCGTTGACGAGGACGCATAAATTGGTTAAAGTCTGTAAAAAGAAAAATGAAAAGTAATATAGTACAAATAAATGTTGACATGTTGGCTTAGTGAGAGCATTGTGCAAATTGTTTGCACAGAGAATGAAAGCAGACGAAGACAAGGATATGAGGGGAAGATAACCGCTAAATCTTGCCTGTAACAGTCACTTGTACATTCCTAATAATAATCGTACCTTGTATCTTTTTACTCTTTCACCTCTTCGTGTCTTTCATTACCCCACACTGATCCTACTACAAAATAAACTACACATAGCTTTTACTTTACTATTACTGCTTCAATAACGGCGTCCATGTGACGCGACGCCCCGCCCTCTATATGCATTGCTCGACCAATCAAATATCGACCTGCGATTGTGCCCGCGAGTGAGAGCGTGCGAGGGAGGGGTTTCGGTTTTGGTTTTACATGTTCTTTTTTACATAGCAGGGTCAATACTGAAAAGCGGGGAAATGGAAGATCCATGTTCCGTAGACAGATGGTTACAAATAGTGGTTGTACGACGTCAAATGATAACTAATTATTGTGAAGATAGATAGGAGATGAAAGGATGATTATCATTGTCATTATCATCAATTAAATTAGAGATGGTTTTATTTTTCTATCATTTGTATGACAATACTGCACATCAAACTGAAATCATTTATCCGAAAGAGAGAAATTTACCTGCACCATCATAAAAAAGAAGCTTGAAACATATTTTAATGAAAATTTAATAAAAAAAAAATTGAGGAATACTAATACTCAAAAGTTAAAAGGTGTCATTTTACAGTCTTTACAGACACAAAATTGATCATTTTCCTACACTTTTTTGTAACCAATTCTTACTGGTAATTCACTTACATTTATAAATATGAACATTACTCTTAACAGAATATTAAACACATTATTAAATGGTATGACACAAACGATCGACTTCTTCAAACTAAAATGACTAGCAAACGCAATAACAAACCCTGTAAAACTTAATTTCTTTTATTATTTAAAAAGTTAACCAATATTCAAGTATCCATTCATTTCGTCATATTTAACAAGAAGTAACTGATGCCGTTTGCATGAACTCCTAAAACCCAGAGAAAAATGAATTAAAAGCATGAAATATTATTAACCTTGTATTTTGTCATATTTAATAAGGAAAAACTACTGGCGTCATCTGATAAAAGGCATGTCTAACTATGAGAGAGGCAATTTATGAGTTAATATTGACACGACCGTTGTCTAGTGCTAGGATTCATCCCCAACATATTGATTTCTCTAGTTTCCATTTCTACCGTTTACTCACTTTAACAATTCTTTATTTTACATGTCAACATGGAGACGTGACATTCTGGAGAAAAACTTAATGTTGAACAAAGTAAACTAACGAGACACACCGTTTAAAGACAAATCATATCTAATCGAAGTATCCAATCTAAAAACACAATATTGAAAGATAAACCATTAATGTCTTACTATTTGTCCTACGGTGCTTTTGTTTGATTTAGACAATTGAGTGCATACACCAACTCTTAATGTTTAAATATAAACCATGAGAAATTCGCTATAGACATTGTTCCCAAGTTGAAAATATATATAAGCCTGTATATTGATCTGGGACTATACTTCAAATATTGATGACAAACATTATCTTTAAAAAAACTGTTGATTTTTTTAATTTGTACTCATCAATAACTAGTTTTCTTAAAACCCAAATCTTCAAGCTGTGATATATAACAGTAATTTGCTGACATATGGCAAAGATATGCATATGCATAGTTCATATATAAATATGGCTTATAGTATACTGTTCGTGTCCCTTCTTTCTTTAAGTCTGCTTAATGAATTTGGCGATGATTTCAATTTCCGCAAGCATTATGTTGTAGAAGTTATCGTTCAAAGGAAACTTACTTTATTTAGAACAAGTAATTACATAATCTTGCCAATCGCATCACTGTCACGATAGTTTAACACGGATTTGTAATCACCAACAAACGAATTGTAGTACCGATATGTAAAGTATAGAAAAAGATAGTGTAAGTTAAAGAAAATCTTGTTTTGTCATTTTGATGTCTAATAAATAATATTGGACAAAGAGACGAACCTTGTGTCATCCCACGATGTGTAGAGACTGGGACGCAAATATCAAAGGCAATACTTGGTTTATATAAAATATTAAACAAGAAATCTATTTAAAGTAATCTGGAACGTATGCCACTTACTCGACATAATATATTATACTTAGAATGATTACATACTTGCTCAAAAAGAAATATGAGTACGAATGAACGATGAGACTGATTTGTGTATTGGGTCTAGTTAATAGATCTTTATCTTCTTTAATCAAAATAATAATATTTTTTTTTACAATTACAAAGTTGTAGGAGCAACAGTTGGTCGTTGAGTAGCAGAACGTGTCAACTTCCAGAATTACTTTTATAGGTTGTCTGATCCCATAACAAAGTTGGTATACAAGTTACATTCTGATACAAATATTTTCTATCAATATCAGCTAATTCTAAATCAACATCAAATGAACCGTTCAACCGTCATATCATATATAAGGATTTTACTTATCAGCCCTCTGGGATTTCCTGTCACTTGTTATCAATGTATTAATTCACACATCCTTTCCCTTGGTTGGAGAGGAATGATAGAATATTTTTACTATATCTGCACAGCCCCACGCCATAATAAGCTACATTATTTACCCCTAATAGACAACAGTTACGGATGCAGTGTACGTTTATCAGTTTACAGAAATAAACCCTTTCACATCAACATTTTGATAAAATAAATCTCAAAAACGCATGCCATTGAAAACAGGTTTATTATCATTTAAAAGGTCTACGACTACAAATGAAGCGTTAAATTTGATAACTAGTGTCTATAGACAAATATCTTTAATTGAAGAGGATCCATCTGAACTGATTTAGTTTTTCCTACCAAATGAACTCTCTTCCATCAGTGCCAACCTCCATTAAAATGATAAAAGAAATCCAGTTGTCCAAGACATTAAAACTTTTTCAAAGCCGATCAGGTTTTTTTTTTATTTTAAACTAATACACATTTCGTTTTATGCTGAATTAAGAGTTTTTATTTTTGATTCTGGTGCAGTGTCAAGGCTTTGGAAAATACCATTTACAGTTGTATACATTTTCTGGTAGTAGCAAATGTTATTGTAAGAGTCACTAGACTTACAGCTATCTTGACAAGTAAACTTTGTAATATCTACATTAATATAAATCAATCACAAACATGGTAACATATCAACGTTTCTAATATACAAACAAGCCCATATTTTACATTTAGCCTTTGAATTAGCTGATCAGAAAATTACGCCCGATTCAAAGTTATCTTATATACCCGATTAGATCGTGTGTGAAACTACTTTGATACCCAATAGCATTCCTATAAATCTCTAGTATGTCATATTAACACTGGGGTGAATTCTCACTACCAAGGAATGAACACGTACCCAAAACAAAATTTCTTCATGTTTTCAAATAATGGATTCTTGAAACATCATACACCTCAGGCTATATAACTATTTCACCCCACCCACACCCCGATCAAGGTAGTTGTTTTGATATTTTGGTTCAGAAAATGTGCCAGAACAATTAATTCTAAATATGGGTCGATCGAAGGCATACAAATCCTACGGCCTCGATACATATTTTTTTCTGTGCAACTGCTGTATTTAACTTTTATCTACAATCCTATGCCAGAAAATACTGGGGGGTATGGCCGAATATTTAGCACGTGCGTGCTGTATCATGAGGTCTGTCATTGAGTCAACTGGCTTGGTTTCGATTCCCCGGATGTACGTGACAAGGAGTAGGGTCGCCTGTCCAGCCTCGTGGGTTTTCTCCGGGTCCTCCGGTTTCCTCCCACTGCTAAAGACCTCTGCGCGCAAGTGTATTATTGAAATAAAATTTAACCCATCTCTCTCTCTCCCTCTCTCTCTCTCTCCCTCTCTCTGTAACTGAGATACATCCCACAATTTTAACTTCAAAATATGAAGTATATTTGTTTTGTCTTGATATGGATGTGTTTGTGATAGAGGTTAATGCACAGAAACTGCGAAGGGAAAATGATCTTCGTGTACCGGTGGACAAGACGTTGGTAAAACCAACGTTATCGATCCATGTTGACTTGTCGAAAATTCAGGGATTTATGGAGATTAACGTTCCCGATCAAATAATTCCTTACACTGCCAAAGCACGCGAACAGCAGCGAACAACTGGGATATTTATTAGCAGATTTTGGCAAGTATTAAATCTTGGTGTTGAAAATGGGATTAAGGGTAAAATAGCTATCGTGTTGGAAATTTCGGATAGGGATTGCTCAATTGGCGACAGTTAACAAGATACTGATAGCTTCCCCACAGCTGAACGTGGGCTTCTCGTCAAACGAATCTTTAAAACAACCAAACTAAATTGTATTTTTATGGTGAGATTTTTGTACATCGTATACAAGTTGGTCTATGCCAGCATTCGATTACCTTTGCGCTTAAATATTCTCTTACAGGGCTGCAAAGATCAATGTACTTTCAAAGAACAGTCTGGAGAAAATCTGAAGAACGATTAAATGTAAAGAATTTCAATACAACGCGTGGAAATGTGTCGACAAAAACAGAAAACATCTGATGATTTGTTGAATAAGTCGCATTCAGACAGGAGAGGAATTTACAAAACGACACCCTCACATGGATGAACTCAAAACACATTTTAAGACCAAATGCTAGTGTTGAGTGAAAATGGAATCAATGCCTTCCTTCACTGACAACAAAATAAAACTCGAGAATTGTAAATATTGCATATTTTGAAGTCGTGTAACAATTAAAAATTTATATATTATGTTTAAAGTTATGAAAATATCAAATCAAAATGAGCAAATTCGCATTTTTAATATTTGATAACGAAAATCAACAATGTAATGGTAGAAAATATTAACATAGCGATCAATATTTAAGTTAAAAACGTCAAAAGATAGCATCATTTTATTTTTTCAAAATCTAATATTTGTTATTGGAATCTTTGCTTCCGTACAAAACCTCCAAAATTGCGCCTTTTTCATGACGAAGCGACCTCTGGTAGATTAACAAGAACTAAGGTAAATTGAAGAGGTCGGGGTCAACACGAAGCCATCTCGTTAAGTCACGATTTACTGCCAAAACGTAAACATAAAATGGTGGCCAACGATGGTTCAAGGATGTTAATCCAGGATGATCTGTTTTAGGTAAACACATTAGTTATACAATTAAAATATTGACGAATCTGTTTTAATTATTTAAACCCTGCATGTATTAAAGTTGAACATTTTCGGTTTTTAGCAGTTGGGATATTCGACAAAACGTGAACATTGCCAAAATTTATACGGATAATCTTTAATTATGAAAATAAATTCCCGCGTTTATTTAGAATTCAGTTCATAAACACTATAACACATTTCATACTCATCACTCTAAAAAACTATAAGTTCGTAGCTCGTCCATTTGAAATGATTCATTACATTATAACACTGTCACTGCATAGCTTTTCGATTTGAAATAGTTTGTTACATTAGATTCGCATTGGTAACTAGCACTGTAAGTTCATAGTTTTACTGTCCGAAACAGTTCACAGCATTAAATTGGCAATTTGTTTATAAACACCAAGGCACATTCGGCCTTCCAAACTTAAGGACATCTACTTCAGAAATAGTGAACAAAATTGAACTTCACGTAAAGAAAGTAAATTAGTTTATTACGATGTCAAACTTCTTTTATGTGATACCATGACAAGGCGAACTATTAACGTTTTCATTATTGAACTTATTAAACCCATAGCCTTACAAGTGAAGACACGGTAAGACCCGAGCTCATCAGGTTAAAACTATTACATCGCTTTCTCTAGTTGGCACAGTTTCAGAAAAACTTGATTTTGTCTTGTTTCGTTGGCGAAAATGAAATACTATAATATTTTAATTAATTCATTTTGACCAAGAATTCAAATATAATATTCTTAATGACACGTTATGCTAATGCATCTGTTATTATGTTATCGATCCAATATCCCCCCTTTGTGCATTTTAAAATATATTAAAGCTCAATATTTTACCAAACAAATAATATTTTCCATTCCTGCGAATTAATGAATAAATAATGAATAATAATGAATAGGTGTCTTGCTTTGTTCTTTTGGAACCTGCATATGTATGTATATACAGCTGGCATTAGGCAGGTGCGGTCCATTTGTTTATGTACATGTACATGTATATATACACACAAAATGGCTGCGTACATCTCTGCCCATACAATCTTTAATTATTAATTTGTCAACGTTGACACTTTCTGTATAAACTGTTCAATACCTATATGATGTACCGAGAGATCAATAAACTAGTATACTAATATATACATAGGTGTTTATTGATATAGAATATCAGTGAGCAATCTCACAGTCAGTTGTGAGTCCCACTTTATTTGAATGTTTCAATCATTACTAGCAAAAAGCGTCTAATTAATTGTAAACCCGTACTAAGAGGCTACCGAGCAAACACTCTCTTTTTCTTCTATTCCAGCGACAGGTGAACTGCGTTGCAAAACAAGGACGCGCTCGTTTCTTTCGTGTGTAAGAGAATCTAGTTGAACTCAGTTTTGTCATGTTTCTTATTTATGAAGCACACACAAAGGGAAATCGCGTTGGGAGGTATGATAATGTCTTGAGATATGCATGGATGCATTGTTACATAGTCTATAATGATACAGGAATATTCTCTTCCCATTGTAGTCTATATTCACATTATACAATAAAATGTAAATACACAGACAATTTACATATCTTTTTTAAAGGTACACACAGTGTAATTAGGGTATGATTTATGGCAATATTAAGGTACCATACCGAGACAGTGACATGACATCTATCATACTGAATAAATACTGTTTTATATTTATATAATAAGATAATTATAAGAAATTGATACTCCAATTTAAATATGAAAAATGTCGTTTTTATTGTATGATGTATAATAAATAATAGTTTTATTGTTTATGAATTATTCAGAGATCGTTAAAATTAGGTGAATTAAATATTTGGAAATATCTGGAGCCCTCTCTGGGGAATTGTCTTCATTTTGAAACAAAATTTGTAGAAAAACCTATATATCATTCAAATTTTGACTTTTTAACGATTTCAAAGTAAAAATTTGTGTTATATTCACTGGGGTTATATTGTTAACATTACAATCTCAAATTTTTAGTAATTAACATAATGTTATTTATGGTATTAATTATCATAATATTATGTCGTATAACACACGAGATATCAGTTAAATGATGCCATATTGCTCAAAGTATATAAGTTATGTCGTTATGTTAGTAACCACCTAGGACTCCTTTTCTTTTCGTTAATCTGGATATATTAATACCAGGAAATTCATATAAGATACTTAAATACTCCATAAGGTAACAGAACAGTAGGACGTTAAACCTCATTTCATTTTCATTAGTTAAATAGAAGGTCTTCTATATAAGAAACATTCCATAATGGGTAACCGAATGCAATAAACAGTAATTTATGTAATATTTTACCGTGATTAATTCATCACAAACGATGATTTCAAACATGGTCGTTATAGGGGAGAACAATTAATAAATAAGTGCGGATGGGGTAAATGGAAATTCTAAATAAAATTAAGTTCAAATATGCATATCAAATTTGTCGTTCGGATATGATCTCTACATTTGTTCAGTTTTCTTTTTCAGTTGTATGATTGATTTAATAATCGTGACGACTATTTACCACTATAACTTATGAAGGATATAGATATGGTTATCAAGGCATGTATATGTGGACTTAAGAAAAGTGAAAGTTTGTATTTCTTCGGAAACGTATCACTGAGCTTCCATATAGTACAGGACCAGAATAAATAAGCCTAAGATACTTTGCGCATTAAAGCATATTTGAGATTTCCCCCGTAAATGGCACAACCCTGTAAATAGATAAACTTTCAAATTTAAATTATGTATTTTAAAATCCAATACCGTACCTTAGACTTGGAGGCGTTTTCCATAATATAACGCGAGGTGTTAGCCAGGTAAAACGCTCAACTACTGTAGTTTTATAAATACATGTCTGGATTTCGGAACGTAAAACTTGTTAGCTCATTGTTACAAGATCAACACCAGTTTCTAATAAATATCCTTTTAAAGATGCTGGAAAACTTTGATTAATTTATATTCAAATGATCAATAAAATTGCTCTTAAAAAGCTGAAACACCTTTATAGTGATTCACGCATTTAATAATGAAGGCTATGAGAGTGCACGGTCTTTACAAGTGGCAGGCGAAAGCATGTATGTCACTTGTCTTTCTGGTTACGTATTTGTATAAGAGGGTAAGAAAACACGACCCACAATTACCATTGTACCGTATAATATAGATCTTATGAGTGGTGATTATGACCTTGCCCGGCTTCCATACAACATACCCGTTATTTGCTCATCAATTGAATGGGCTGCGTTTATTGAGAGTAAACATTATATTTGGCTACCATAAGTGGTGATAAAATGTTTGTACAAGTTCTTAGCTCAATCAAAAATCGCTATTATAAGACGCGAAATGCTCAATAGAGCGCTCGATGGTGGCTCAATAAAAGTTTTGCTTGCTCCTAGACGTGAGACGTGCCTGTCCCTCGCGGCTATAGACATAACATAATAAGTTCGAGATTGAAATTTTGATGTTATCTTTTTCCCTTCTCATCCTCAGTGACATTTCTTGAATGTATTTTATTTAGTATTTGTTTAAACTTTTTCGTTATGGTTAAAACAACAAGTTGACAATATTGACAGATGCCGTGCTTATTGATGACAATAGGATGAGTTGTAATTGATAAGTATCTAAAGTAGATAATGATAACCTGGCAGTGAGCTGAGGAGTGGCTTCGCTGTTATATTGAAGTGTTGAAGTCCTCGACTTGAAGCTGATCCCAATAATTATCTCGTTCGATCCTAATCTAATAATTACAATACTGTTGATTTTGAAAATCGATAATCCAATAATTATTGTTAATCCTAATAATATACCGGTGTGATAAGGTGAGTTGATCCTAAGTTAGGATTATCGTGTTAGAGAAGGTAATAGCCAAACATGTACTTTAAAATGTGACAGGTTGTATGCACGTACATGTTAAACTACGGTAATTTATTTTCTAAAACTAAAGAGTTCCTTTTTTTACGACAATATTTCATGTGAGTGTATATTATTGTCAAACATGTCCGTCGGTGTTTCTGTTCGCATTTCTTATCAATGTTGTGGTTTTCCCAAAACGTGCCCAGCAAGGTATACAGACAGAGGAAACCTTTTCGAAAAACAGAGATTTTTGCCCGTGTTACAGAAACTTTGTACGAATATTTTTATTAGTTTACATCACAGCATCCAATGATATATTTGCATTCATTTAAGTTTTCAAGTTTTTATTACCTTTGAGTCACAGATGAGGGTGGGCGTATATTCGTTACCTGGCAATGTTTGCATTCTAAGAACAATAATCTGCTAAATGTCTACTACGACCTTAGGGTAAAAGCCGGCAATTGTTGTATTTTTAATTAAGAAGAAGTATTCAGATTTCAAATTTTTATTTGATTTCAGCACAACATAATGTTGCGTTTTAACATGTCGGAGATTAAAGATACGATTTCTAGCAATATGAACCTCTTCTCGAAAAATCGAAATAATAAGTTTCCTTATTTCAGTAATAAAATAAAATCTTAAACCATTTCAATGTAAATAAGTCGCAACAAATTCTAATCGAGAACAAATAATTTTCTTTTTGTTTTTGTGAGATCTATAAATGATAATAAACCATCATGCACATTGTATTTATATGTTACTGCTATGCTGATATTGTAGTAAATTATGCCGGTTCTGATTATCCTGCTTAGAATTTGTGACGTAAAATGTAGAAAATTAGACTGAACACGTAAATTGATCCACGCCCTTTTAAAAACTGTAATTTGACGTGCGCTTCAGATTTATGTTCTATTCAACATATTCTAACCATTTCTAGTTTTGTAGACTTTAAAATAAAATAAGTCAAAATATCACCAGCCTCAAAGACTTTATTAACGAAATACACATTGAATTACGCTCGTTCGGAAATTCTAAACGTTATTTCTTTGTATAATTCCAATACTTATACAATGCAATTAACATTTTGTATGAAGCAAAGTTTTGGTTCGATTTTGGGAAATTAGAACATATCTCTACAGACAATTCTTGATTTGTTTCACTTTAATTTTCAGGCTGCGGTAAAGACGGTTTAGATGAGTAGAGTAGATAATTTATTTAGTAAAGAATAGAATACAGTTTGTAATAATGTGACATATATATCACCACACGCCCTCCTCCTCTTCTCTTATCATACATCAATACTTATCACACTACCGTTTAATTAACAAAATTTTCTCATTGTATCGATCCGCATATCTGAACAGGTCATCTTCATATAGGACCATCGCCGTTTCAAAGCCGAGGCGTATATTGTCAATGGGGAGCGGCCCGTGACAAAGCCAGCACTAATATTGAACAGAGCGGTCCCGGTGAATCAAGATGGCTACCGAATTCAATGTAAGTAGATGGAAAGATAGTGAAATTAGTGACCCCACTGATCATTACCACCGGGAGAGATTATAGTAACAGTTACAACAAAAGACACAGATGATAAATGCTCCAATGGCCCAATAGGTATTTCATGAAATAAAACACGGGTCTTTATCTACCGATAATCTAGAATCTTAAATACCGATGTTCGCATGGGTCTAAATCTCCAAATTGTCCCTTTCTATACATATATTCATGTAATATCGTAAATGTCTATTGTTAGAAAAATTCATAAAATGTAATGCAAGATGAGGGATACAAGATTTTATCAAAAAATATCTTTGAACTATTGTCTAGAACGAAGGAGGGGGTATGGTGACGATTATTCTTTAACAAAAATTAACCGAAAAAAAGAACATACTGTAAGCATCATAACTAGGTAAATCATGCTTGACCCCCTTCCATGCTCTGAAAAAGGGTTTTGAAGAGAGCATTCGTATCTCGTGGTGAAAATAATTGATATAATAACTGTACATTCCCCAATAATTGGCAAACTTATAGACAGTTCCCCTGTTAACTAAGAATCCGAATATATCAATGGAAGAAGCATTGCCGAAAAGTATTTTCTGTGAATTTAGATATTTTGTGTTCCCAGAACATTTATATCACTTCTAAATGAGGAGTTCACAAAGCTAACACTGTATTTATTTTACTTTTCTATTTAAACCACTGAGCTGGTGGCTATTTTCGCGGCTTGTTCCTGAGGTTATCGTCTACGCAACGGTGGAAATTTGGTTAACTGTAAGGAGTGGCGGATACATACCCTTTCTAGCACATCTAATACCACTTCTCATTTGAGGAGTTCACATAGTTAATACTTCTATTGTAATTTGGTGTCGTTTTTTTAAAAATTGTTTCTTTTTAAATTGTTCCGGTTTGACATATCAATTCGCATGGCGTAGGATACAGCACATGCAAACTGGTGTTGTACAAATCATACCAAGCACATTTTCTCTTAGAAAGCCCTATTAAAAAAACATAAATAAAGGGGTTTTGAAATTTTCGGTAAGCCGTGTAGCTTATGTGGTTTACTGGGGTTGACCCACCGAACTATGGTGAACTTGAAGCAAGTTTGCGATATTTAAACAGATTATTGATCTGCTACACCGTGTAACCGAAAACAAACCCAAATCGGAAAGACATATTGTATTCAAATAAACTTCACGTAATTATGTTGACTTGTAAGAGTCTATCGCCTATTTGACTAATGACGACAAATCTAAATAGTTCAGATAACAAGAAATATTTTCAACTGCTATTGACAGTAGTGAATATAAACAAACCCATATATGAACCTATTCCTGATGTCTATGACTATCTTTAATTTTGTTTAATTCAGATCCGTTTAATGCAGTTTTCGTTTCTACAAGGCAATCGTGTTGAGTTGCGTTTCAAATTCGAAAGTTTATTTCCAAAAGACGTCAAAACGCTATACCTTTCGTGTCCATTAAGTGGTTGGCACTGCTTGCAATTATACGTAAATAAAATTTCACCAATTCTTCAACAACAATATGACCATATATATTGCCTTATATATTGCTGAAAAACAAATCTGGAAAGCATTCTTCAGATTTCTCAAATTTGTGGCAGTGTTTAATCTTATTTAATGAAGATGTTTATATTCCCACCTGTACTTAATAAAAAGAAAGAAATGATGTTGACCTTTGACACGTGTTAAAATTGGAAGTCTCACATTTTCTTTACCCCCATATCAATAATAATATTGATTATTCTTGATTTTTTTAAGACCGCCATCTTTGTTTTAGCTACGGAATTGACAGGGATAAGTTGACAATCTGTAACGATTTGTTTTCTTCTCAATTTGTTAAAATCAAGACACAGGTGTAAAAAACGTTCTCTCTGTTGTTGTTCTATATACTCAGCTGAATTAATAATCGAAATTGAATTTTAAGATAAAATCAACTTCAGAAACGTACAGTTGTCTTTCATTATAGATGTGTGCGCTTCTGGTTGAAAAGAAGTATAGATGGCCAAATTTAGGCACCAATGTAGTTCCCCTCCTTAGCAGGAAAAATATGTCTGTTTGTGTGGACCCGGTGGGGGGGGGCTAAAGGGGTTATTGTTGTTTCACATCCATTTCGACACATATTACAGCGCAAAAGTTAACTCCCCTCCCTCAAATTTTTGATGTTGCTTGATGGGGAAAATACAGACAAATCCCAAACTAAACCCTGATTCATAATTGCAGAGTTGTTTATCATGGGTTCAGCGTGTTTCGTGTTATTGAGTACAACACGACAATATATAAACTTAAATTAAATATATGTTCTCTACATAAGTTCGATGCAAATTGGAAATTAAAATTTCCATGCATCTGTAAAGTCCCCACGCCAAGCCACACCAATCTGAATATTCATCTTCATAAATGGTGCAGTTGTTTTGTTTTAGGAAAAGTGTGTCCGATTATTGGTATCCTGTAAGGTCTACGTTTCGATCTGGAATTCCGACTGAAAACGCTCATTTATTTAAACAGTCGTCATTTTTTTTTTAAATA